ATTTAATCGCTTAAGCGATTCTTCATAAAAGACACATGGTCGCTTAAGCGATTTATGATCGTTTAAGCGATTCTTCCTAAAAGACACATGGTCGCTTAAGCGTTTATTCGATCTTTTCCTAGGCAGAATGACATCTGCCCAGACTATGATCGCTTAAGCGCCCTACTTATATCGCTTAATCGATTCTTCCTAAAAGACACATGGTCGCTTAAGCGATTTATGATCGCTTAAGCATCTTTCCGAGGCAGAATGACTCTACCCAGACTATGATCGCTTAAACGACCCACTTATATCGCTTAAGCGATTCTTCCTAAAAGACACTGGTCCTTAACGATCTTTTCCGAGGCAGAATGACATCTGCCCAGACTATGATCGCTTAAGCACTCATTTAATTGCTTAAGCGTTTTTTCCTAAAATGACTTCTGCCCAACCTTGGTCGCTTAAGCGATCGTTTCTGGAAAGTCTTAGTCGTTTAAGAAGATATGGACAAACAAAAATATCTTATGTGGACACACCATACATAGTAAATTGAAACTGCTGATGAATTATCTTATATGGACAAACAAAAATATATCCCAAATATCATATCCATTCTTTACAATGATCACACCATACATAGTAAATTATTACAATTTCCTCTACACTGCCTTTAATTTAGTTTTTATGCCAAAGAGTTTAGAATCCACAGTGAATGGTATCAGGCAGTCCATGCTTGAAAAGATGCCCACGACATCATTCTTCCCGATGCTTTCTGGCTCTGCACTAGCATCCAACAAATCAGATGATATCTACAAGGGCGGCTAATATGGTGCCTCGTTGACTTTCTGTGGAGATTGACCATTCCATCTTTCATAAACTACGTCAAAAACTCAGTGTCAGCAGCTGAAGTTATATGGTTTAGAATAAAACAATCACACAAAAAACCCAAGTATACATCAACATCACATAAACTACAAAATTCAGCGTCCAACTTCATACCCTTTGATTGGGTTCTGGTCACTCAAAACGGATCTATCTACCCATGGAAGCAGTCGACAACCCAGCGCTCCCGACAGTCTCTCATTGTTTCGTCATTCAAGCTGTCCATCGGGCTGTTGGTCATGTCGAACTGAATAAATTTCAGGCTATATCCCACATTCAGCGCTACAAAAGAAGACATTAGCATTATAATAAACTATAGAACATTGTATTATGTAAGTTAGTTTTAAACAAATTTACCTTGACTCATTTATTGGGTAGGTAGCGTTGATTGGCCACTTTCCGGTTAGTACCTGTCACCCAAGTGCCCAAACATCCTGTTGTCACGCAACAGCCCGGGAACAACCTGGACAGTGGGTCCAACTCGACCTCCAACTACTTGCTCGACAATGGTTGGGTTGCAGTCAAGGATCTTCAGAAACCCCTCTCTAGATGCGCAACGACTGCTATCCAGTGCATCTGTTTGACGAGGATGATGCAGTACCCTCTTTTAACAAAGGCCCAACCGTGGCCATATTTGGGCCGATCCCCCCTTACGTACTGCATAATCCTGTCATCAAACCGAAAATCATCAGGATGCAGTCCGACTGTTGTGCGGTCATCGTTTTCGCTTCAGTCCTTTTGCTACACCACTAGCAACGACATTTTTAATTAAAGTGCGATATGCCGAACAAGCGTTTGCCCAAATCCACATCGTGATAGCACAGTCAGGATACAACATCACCATCACTAGTCTGTCGTAGCCTCATCAGTGCCAATATCTCATCAATGTGCTGCATCAAATAAAAACAACAAGATAAGTATGGAAAACACAGGCAAAATAAGGAAATTAAGTGAAAATAACTCACCGAGTCCTCAAGCCACGTCCCCATCGTCAACAACTTCTGAACATTTCCGGGGATAATCCCATGTCTTACACTTTATATAGCCATCACTTCTTGATCCATTGTAATAGGCATAAAAGAGTTTTTTCTTTTCCTCTATTGGCCTATACAATCGACATTTGAGTCCAATTTCCCTTCCCCACTTCCTCCCCTTTCCTCCATTTTTACATCCCCGCTTCCTTCGCCTCCCCCTCCCCCTCCTCCATTATCACCGCCCCACTTCCACCACCAACCTCCTCAACCTCCTCCATTTCTGGTTGTTCCTCTATTTGTTTCTTCATTTTCTTCTTCGTTACCTGTGTCACTACCATGTAAGGCGATTTCACAAACTTGCTCTTTCGGCTCTCTCTTTTCAAGCCAGTTTGCACTTCAACCGCCTTTAATTCTCCACCAACTTCCTCCTCCATTGTACCAACTTCGCCCTCCATTGTACCTACTTTCTCTCCCAGCTTATCCACTTTCTCCTCCACCCTTTTCATTGTTCTTCCATCTTGTCAAACCTTGCATAATGGCTGTTGTAAAACTCTTAAACAGGCCGTTTATGAGGTCAACAATCTCATTCCCCCACGCTGATGTCTCAGAAAAGCGGTACTTGTTGTATCGGTTTGCTGCATACGAACCTCTTCCTCCCTCTCCTCCTCCTCCTCATCCTCGGCCTCCCAGCTTCATTATCCTCACATCAACGACTGTCAAGCAATGGCCCTGCAACTGCCATCGCATGCGTGACCCCTTTTAGGTCCCGCATCAGGCGGTCTATCTGTTCATCCTTTCATCCTCCATTGCTTTGAAAGATGTGACATAGTCCTCTTCCGCTTCATCCCCATAGCGTCAAAAAGGGACGGACACTCCCTGCAATAAGAAATAAAATCAATCAGATTGAAGCAAAATAAAACAACGGCATATTCAAAAGCTTTCCTTCAATCTTACCCCAGCTGCTTGAATCTCAATCTCTAATTGGCCATAATCCCAATGGTTACAGCTCTCGACATGCCACCGCAACATCCTAGGAATTGCTGTTGCACATTCAAATTGTTGCTCCTCCCCCCACCTAGCGAGACAGGGATGCCTCGTACATCCAAGCCTACATTGTAAAAAAACAGTCCATGTCATTATTCAACACACATATTATAAAAAATATAACAGAGAGCTTTAATATTTACCTGCATTGCCCATGGAGCCAAACAAATTATACGTGCTTGGTTTAGCCTTCCCGCCCCATTCGGCATGCTTTAACACCATGTCTGGTTTTTTCAGGCTCTTCATGGTTCGCTCAAATGATATCTCCCCCACGGATAAGAATTAAAGAACTCCAAGTCCTTACAAACAACAACCAATCTTTCTCAATAGCTTTTGTTGAGTCACCAGCCAATAAGATAGAATGTAAAACAATATCAAGCACACTTTTATCTTCTCTGCATCACTAAACGACTGTATATAGCTCTTCTCTAAAACTTTTCCTGTAATAGACTTTTCATTTTCAAACCTTTTTACAAAAGTTTATGCTCCCGCACTCGCCTTATTGCGTCTGCCTCCGCCATAGTTGGCGCTTTCCCGCATCCTAGCCCGTCACCAACGCATACTCCATCATACCAAACCGTAATGGCTTTCCTCCACCACGAACCACTTTCATTTTTTTGTTGCATTTTACTGAGTGCATCAACATGTAATGCACTCCCTGCCCCCAAAATGACTTTTTCCACTTTGTTCCGATTCTTAAAAACTGACCGAAACAAGTGTCACCAAAATCTCTTTCACCATGCCTCTTCTAGTTAAAATGGCCCTTATTCTGTCAAAAACCTCCCAACTCGACCTCACCGTCACCCTTGCAGGGAAGTAGGTACCTTCTCACTTATAGGCTCCAACTTTACTCTCTACATTTACGGTTCGCACAATCTGTACAATCAATAAATAAAATGTCAGTAACAAAAATAAACCAAAACCACTGTAATCGCTTAAGCGATCTCGGATCGCTTAAGAGATCTTTAATCTGCCTCTGCAAGATCGCTTAAGCGATTTTAAATCGCTTAGCGACCAAAAGTTAACTGGGAATCTCTTAAGCGATACAACAGATCGCTTATTATATCTGTGATCTGTCAGACCTAAGATCGCTTAAGCGAACTCTTGGTCGCTTAAGCGATCTTAGGTCTGGGCAGAATCATCTACCCAGATCTCAGATCGCTTAAGCGATCCTTTTATCGCTTAAGCGATCATGACTGCGATCACGAGTAAAACAGAATATCGCTTAAGCGATACAAATTCGCTTAAGCGAAAATACAAGCAATATTCCCAAACTACGTACCCTATCTTCGTCGACCTCCTCCTCGTCGCCTGGATCCTCAACGACTCCTCCTGGCCTGAATTCTCGCCTGACTCCTTGTCTCAACCCGTTTGCTGGTTCTTCTCCTCGTTCTTGTGCCGTCGGCGTCTCCTCTGCTGTGGACCACCTCACTGGTCAGATGATCCACCGGAGCAGCCATTGAACTGCTTGCGCCACCGGAATCTAGGATTCGAATGGCGTTGGCTTCCCTCCTCATTGTCAGTGTCACTCATGGTTTTGGATTGAATTGGTGTCAAAGTTTGCAGTTTCGATCGGAAAGTAGACTGTACGCCGAAAATGGCACAAATTTCGTTTACGGTTAAGGAAATCGATTTTAGGGTTCAACAAATCGATCAAAAATCACGACTAATCCGCCGAAAATCGCGACTGTATTCGGTTTAGGGTTCAGAAATTGATTAGGGTGCAATTTGTAGGTGTTTGATCGGAAAAAATCGCGTCTCCCTTTCGTTCAGAAATCGCTTTTTGAACTGATGAATTTCGATTAAGCGAGGTGAATAGTTAGTGGGGCTTGTTTTACGAATTTCAAATTTTAAAAACTTTATTATTTCTGTTTGACCCACATATGTTTTAATCTTTTCATTTTAACCTATTTTACGTGTTTAATTAATTCTAACTATGCCACGTTATCTTCTCTAATAAAAAAAAATGATGAATAATTTCAAGGCCATTTTCTTAAATCCAAACTTGGGATGACCGGGCAGCTAAATTTTCTCTAGTCACGGCCCTGCCCTCTAATTTCTGACTTCTGAGAACCCAACCATTTCATTTTCATTTCTTTACAAATATTATCTTTACTCACCATGGCGGGAGCCGCCACGGCCACCTTCAATGTCTCATCAACTCCTTCTCTCCTCCGCCGTTCATCATTAATTTCCCTTTCCTCTAACCCTCCATTCTGTCTCTGCGCCCTCTTCCAAATACCCAGTTATAATCCCTCTCTCAATTGTTCATATGCATTTACATTTAATTTTTTAGAAAAATAATTTATGTTGGTATTCAGGGATTTACGCCTTGTCTAGTAACGATATCAAAGTGGGTACCACATTGAAGTAGACGGAGCTCCTTGGCGTGTTTTGGTTATTGTTATCTATTTACTTATTTTTTTTGCGAACAAGTAAATTCTTAATTGTCTTGTTAAAATTTGTGTTTGTCTTGGGAAGAGTTTCTTCATGTGAAACCTGGAAAAGGAGCAGCATTTGTGAGGACCAAGATGCGCAATTACGTTACGGGAAACACTGTTGAGAAAACTTTTCGAGCGGGAAGTTCGGTAATTTCTTTTAGCTGCAGATTTTAGTTCAATTGGGTTCAGTGGCTAAAATTTTGACTGAACAAAATATCTGTGGCATTGCTTGTGCATTTTATAATTTAACATAGAACAGCCTTGGAAAGAGAATAAGTGTATTAAGTTTGTTGATTCTAAGCTTCAATATTTTAGTAGACTTGAAATACAAACTGCACTTAGTAAGATGCATGATCGTACTTACATAACTAGGAACTAGAAACTGGGTCATTATCGTTTTCTTTTGTTGGTTTAAGACTGGTAAAACATTTGGGTGCATTGCTTATATGGCTACAATGTTTCAGTATAATGTATAGAAATATTTATCTAGTGTTGTCGGAATGTTTCGGCATAGTCATAGATATACAGATTTGATGATTACTGGAGGCTGCTTAGTGCTCACTATTTTACATTGCATCTAACTGGCACAAGGGCACCCTAATTTTTTATCTCTATAATAAATAGGGGAGAGATGTAGTGATATGAAGATTTGAAATGACAAATGAGAATCCATTAGTGTTGTCATCTTTTGATGTGGGCAGGCTTCTTTTTACCATTTTATTGTGTATTGAAATTGTTGAGATATTTATATGCCTTTGTGTGTGTGATTTTTCCCAGATTGAAGTGGCAGATGTATTCAAGGAAACCAAGCAATTCACATACAAAGATGGTGTCCAGTTTGTCTTTATGGACCTGGTATTGTTTATATCCATTCTATATAATTTGCTGTAACATCCATCTATTCTTGCTCAGGAAAACAATACTTGCCACATTTTTATGCATTATTGTGAGCAATCCGTTTCAGGAAAGTTGGAATCAATTTCATCTTAAAGGAATATAGCAGACGCAATAACACGATTCAATTTTTTAAAGTCAAGAAGCAATGACATTTTGTATTTTACTATGTTTTTACTTTTTTATTCTCTAATTTGGAATGCCATGTTTTCACAGAACACGTTTGAAGAAACTCGTCTGAACGAGAAAGATGTTGGGGATACGACAAAGTGGCTGAAAGAAGGAATGGATTGCAATTTGCTATTTTGGAATGGAAAAGTAATCTTTTAGTTTTGCTTTTAATTTCTGCATTGAGTTGTCAATACTTACATCCTTTAAATTTCAGATGCATATGCTTACGTTCAGATGGGTAGTGACATTGTTCAGTCCATGGTAATTTGGCACTGCCATTGTCGATTCTGTTTAACAGACTATTTATTGATATGCTTGCAGGTTATTGATTTTGAACTCCCAATCACGGTTAAGCTGACTGTGGTTGATGTTGATCCTGGCCTTAAAGGTGATACAGCTCAAGGTAATATGTTTTTCTTCTCTGGAAAAAATTGAAGCCCCGATTGATTATCTTACTGGTGTAAATGACGTTTGCATTGATTCGCGACTGCTGGAGCCATGAACATAGATAAATGTGGCCGCTTGGATGCTACATATGCGCTAAATGGATCATATTAAAAATATAGAGTCCCCTTCATGGAGAATCATATTAAGGAGCTCCATGAAGTTGGGTGATAAATGCAGGCATTTGATTGGTTTCAGCAGGCTGTGGAAATGATGAACACCAAATAATAGTTAATTTTGCTGGTGAAGAAATAAAGTCGCTTTGCTGCATTTTCTTTCATCATGAAAGATTAGGAAAAGTTATTTGCCTATTGTTTGTTCAGTGATATATTACCAAAGGGAATATGGATTCTCTGTGCTGCAATTTCTTTTGAAAAAAATGATTTTTTGAATGGTTTGCTTATTGAAATTTCAAATTCTTATGGCAGGTGGGTCCAAACCGGCAACTCTGGATACTGGAGCTGTCGTCAATGTTCCATTGTTTGTGAATATAGGTGATGAAATATTGGTGGACACAAGAACAGGGCAATACATGAGCCGTGCATAATTCTAAAGCTTTTGGAGATTTCTTTCATCACCAATATTTTTGTCCTTTGCTATCAGTTAGAAGGATTTTCTATGTTCATTGATGCTAGAGATGTACATCAGGCTTAGATAGCGAAAGAGTTACAAAGCTTAGTTTCCTGTTTTAAATATTTTAACTTGTTCCATGTGTATTTATTGGTAACTCTCGTTGGATATAGTGCTTTTGCACCAGACCAGAGAAATTGTATTGTTCTCAGAAATGAAATGAAATGAAATACTACTTCAGTTTGGGATAAAGTTAGCTCAGCTCGGCTGGAATAACTAATTAATTGCATATATTCAAAGTTTCTTTGGTGAAGTATATGCATAAATCCAAGCAATATCACAATGCTTCTGCAAAAGAATTCCCAGAATTAGACAACTAATTTATTGATTGATCGATCAGATAAATACAGTTCTTGAACTGAACAGCTTTCTTCAAATTCTTAGGGCACCCGATGAGGCAATACACCTTGCTTCAATGCAGCACCATAGACAATGCACGCTCCCGAAGATCTTTCCTGTTGGTTTAGCTTCTTAATCAGAATGTCATAGGATGTTCTACTTGGGATCTTGCCCTGTTCATTCATGAGAAGCACGACCAGTAATGCATCGTCTACCTTCCCCTCGTGGCAAAATGCTTGAATCACATTATTAAAGGTAATCGTCCGGGGAACATACCCCATTCTAACCATATGCTGCAGATGGATCAAAGCCTCATCAGTTTTCTTTCCCACACAAAGAGCTCTAATTACCATGCCATAGGTACCAGGGTCCATGATGAAATTCATTTTCTCAAACACTTGATAGGCATCTTCCAACAAGTCTTTTTCTTCCCATGATTTCATGCATAAACCTCTAAGCAAAGTGTTCATCATCCTCTCATCAACTTCAATCCCAAAATCAACCATTTGCTTAAAAGTAATCAGTGCTGCCCTTGTTTCTCCCCATCTCAATAGCCCATGTAACAAGGTGCTATAACTAATATAGTCAGGAACACAATTCCTCTCCTTCATAAGCTTCAACACACTAATACCCTCCATTGGCCTGCCCTCCTTACAATACCCATTAAAAAGAGTGTTAAAAGTGGCCACACTTGGTTTCAATCCCCTCTCCACAGCTTCATTAAGCAGCTCCATTGCCTCATTAGACCTACCCACTTTACAAAAACCATCCATAACAATTGTGTATGAATAAATATCAGGTTTTATCAAACCCTTCTTAATATTCACCAACATTTCATATGCTTCCTCCACCCTTCCCACATAACACAAACCCTTTATCAAACAATTATAAGTCTGAATACTAGGTTTGCACCCAACTCTACCCATTACTTCAAAAACCTCAAAAGCTTTCTGCAACCTGCCACTTGTGCATAATGAGTTTATAAAAATGGTGAAAGTTGCAACATTTGGACAAAACCCTTTCTCAACCATGTAGTTTAGAACCTGTCCTGCTTCAACCAGATTGTTTTTCTTGCAATGACACCTCAGCATGATGGAAAATGTCCAAGAATCTGGCGCCAACCCATAAGATGGTATTTCAGAGTAAAGTTTCAAAGCAATTTCTAGCTCATTTGCTGTCACTAAAGCCATAAGCAAATCATTAAAGTCGGATATGGTCCAGTTTCTACCGTCTCTTTTGATGCAACTAAAGATATCAGTTTTATCTTTGATTGCATCCATGAACTTCTGCGCTTGCAATCCATGAGGAATCTCTTTAAAGTCCAAGCTTTCTTGTTCTTCTTTGATTCTAAAGCCATTTTGCTTATCAAAGTTTGAGCATAAACTATAAAAACTGAGGGTACGTAATTGTTTCTGTACTGTAGATAATGACTCAGTTGCAAAGACAAGAAGCTTGACTGGCTGAAATTTGTTGTGGTTCTGGTTTCTTACAGAGGTGTTGGTGAAGACAAAGGAAGTGCCAAGCCAAGGAGATTGAAGAGATTGTGAAGTCGGAGAATATGGAAAAGGCATCATTCTGATCAGACTCAATTCTGTACAAACCCTTCAACATTTGACTCCGGAAATATGAGTGAGCTGAATTGCTCATTTGTTTTGTTCATAACATCAGTCGAGTAGAGGCTTTCTTATCCTCTGGCTATAAGCGATAAGCGGTCCGTTTGCTATATCGTTAGACGACAAGACGTTCATTTCTTAATGCACTGTACGACCAATCGGTCATCCCTTAAAAAGGGTATTCTCAATTAATAATTTTAACAAGTTAATCGTCCTCAAGAAGAAAAAAAAACTTGCAATAATTACAATAATTAATTTCGTACGATATAGACTCTTGAATATATTACTCAAGAGATCTCGAGTTCAATTCTTTTTGATTATTAATAAAGATGGTCACTAAAAGATTTATCCTGTTAGTAACATCAAACCTTGAGAAAATTTTAGGGTCTAAAAAGATTAATCGAGATACATGTAAACTGGTTTGGACATCTTTCACAACAAAAAAAAAATAAAAAAAAAGCTAAATTCTTTTAATAAACCAAATAAAAAACCTTATTTATGAATCAAAATATACAAATATAGTTTGATTAATTACATTATTCCTAAAAACAAAATGTACGGAAATATAGTATGAGAATTATCTGAATGCCCAGATAATGATCTTCAAAAACTATTCAGAGGCGTAGAGATCTACTGAAGGCCTTCAAATACTTGGGATTTTTGGGGTCCGGCACTTCCTTTCTTCCTCCATTCTTGTTACTACTTCCCCTCTTAATAACAAACGATTTCAGCATTTTCTTCAAAACCTTGCCGAAACCAGACACACCACGACGGCGCCCTTTTACTCCCACCTGTGTCTGCGCCTTTGGTGCGATGTCCGATGGAGGCAACGGTGCTGGCAATTTGGCCCCACCGACACTTGGCTCGGAGAAGCTCCGGCGAAGAATGGCTTTGTTAAGCTGCACTTCAAATGAAAGCCTCTCAAACTGATCCAACAACGCGCTTTGCTCATCTCCAAACCTCCTCAAAACAACTGCTATTTCGTCCATGCCGCTCTTGCTGCTTTTGTTTTTGTTTTCACTTGGTAAAGTGAAAGCCATTCTCATATACGCTTTGCTTCTTCTACAAGTGAAAGTGTGAGGTGAAAGATTAAGAATTCTTTTTATGATTATTCTCTGACTGTGTACTTGGCTTAAAGAAGCGAGCTTGAGTTTGGGAGCTGGAAAGACCCTTCTGTCTCAGTATTGCAGTAGCAGTAACCCAGTTGTTTCAAACAATAAATAAGCAACAACAATCTCCATCAATTCACTGCATGGACTTTCTTTTTGCGGAATTTTCAAGGTTAAAGATGATTTATTTAAGCCAAACTTTAGATTTGGTTACCACTTTATGCTTTCTTGCTAGGGACATACTATGTTTTATTCCCTAACATTTGCTCTCCTTTTTTGAGAGCCTTATCTCATACAAAAGTTATACATTCTGTGTTTTTTACTATTGCTTTCCATTTTGTCAAAAGATTTGGTAGCATTCATTGACCCCCACGCATAACAATAATTTTTTTTTGTAATCAAGATGTTTGGGTCAGTTTACGCGTATCTTGACTAATCCTCGAGAGAGATTAGTATAATAATCTACCGTCGAACACCTTGATTAATCTTCGAGAGAGACAAGCGCAATAACTCACTGTTGAACACCGAGAGACTAACGCAATAACCCACCGCCAGACACCTTGACTAATCTTCGGGGGAGATTAGCGTCATAACCCACCATCAGACACCTTGACTAATCATCGAGAGAGACTAGCACAACAACCTATCGTCATAGTCCTCAACTTAAATAGCAGATATTTAGATGGGAAATTAAACCTAAGACTGTGCACATATTCACACTATCCCCGATTCGCCTTAATCATCTAGATTAGCACAATAACCCACTGTCGAACACCTCAACTGATCTTTAAGAGAGACTAGCGCAATAACCCACTGTCGGACACCTTGATTAATCTTCGGGGGAGATTAGCACCATCAAACACCTTGATTAATCATTGGGAGAGATTAGCGCAACAACCCACCATCATAGTCTCTCACTTAAATCGTGAATACTTAGATGAGAAATCGAACCTAAAATTATGCATATATTCACACTATCTCAGATTCATCTTAATCATCTAGATTACCCATAGATACGTCAACAAAATCTTTCTATCATCAAAACTTACATTATCATGAGTAAAATAACTATTTATCAAATTATCTTTTTTCTGTTCATTTTTTTAGTCAAACCTTAGGGGTCAATTCATTAACTATTAAGGATAATAATTAAGTACTTTCTAGAAATTAATGATAGGTGTTTTCCTTTTCAAAAGATATTAATAACATTTGATAGATATTTTAATTAATTTTTTACACTATTTATGCCTTGAATTACATTAAAAAATAAATATGTCTACACCATTCCCAAGACCGTTGAAATTAAGAGGACGACTCATAAATTGTATTGAAAAGATTAAAGTAAGAATAAAAAAAAAAAATTATTGAGATCCCTTTTCTATTTTATTTATACATATTAGGGCTTAAATTTTGTAGATGGGCCCGAAGCCCAGACCATGAATAGGCCCAATGCGACAGAATCGGGCCAATTTTTACACCCACAGGCCCATGAAATTTCCCCGCGTAAACCCTAGATTATCCATTTTCTGCCCTGGTTCAATTTCAACTGAAAATAGAACAGACTGAGCCCTAAAATTTGGTCTATTTTTTAATTATTATTTTACTTATTTGATCTATTCTATTTAGCTGCGTCAACTCAAAGCTCAGATGAATCTGAGTCTGTCCGACGGATTCTAATTTCGCTGGAAGATGAGTTTCTGTGATCTCTTCCTGGGATCGAGAATTGCTACAATTTCTAGAGATTTGATTTCCGCGGATCTAAATAGAAGAGTTTGTTGAAGTTGAATTGTAATGGATAAAAATATAATTCTAGCAGTGTTTTTATTGTTTTTCGTTGTTGCTGATGTTTCCAATGCTAAATTTCGCCACTTAGCTGCGGTCGATCCGAACAATAATTCAGCTACAACTCAGGTAAGAATTTTTGTTTTTTGTTTTTTGTCTTTTTGTTTTTGTTTTTGATAACAAAACGACGTAATTGAATTGCGTTTTTTATGTATTGTGTTAGGTTTCGGGTGCTAATAAACCGGTTGAAGCTGGGAATAAGAAGAAGCCAGAGGCAGTGGGCAGTTCATCACAGTTGGATTCAAAAGAGTTGAATAAAAGGGATTTGGTGAGTCCACCTCCCCCTAATGAAACAACTGATAATAGTAAAAGTTCTAATACTGCGGATTCAGTGAATCCAAATGTCCAAAACAAAACTAGTGATAACCCAAATGGTTCCAATAATACGGATAATTCTAAGAATTCTAATGTAAAGGATTCTTCAATGAGTCATCCTGATAAGGAAAAGAGTATGAACAATTCTAGTGATACGGCTGTGAGTACTCAAGTTAAAGGAACGGACAATGGGAAGAATGGGGGAATGGATCGTGAGAAGAATGGAGGAACAGATAACAGGAAGAAGGATGGAACAGATAGTAGTAAGGATGTAACAGATAACGGGAAGAAGGATGGAACAGATGGTGGTAAGGACGTAACAGACAGTGGGAAGAAGGATGAAACAGATAGTGGCAAGAAGGACGGAACAGATAGTGGCAAGAAGGGTGGAACAGATAGTGGCAAGAAGGACGGAACAGATAGTGGGAAGGAGGGAACCGATAGTGGGAAGGACGAAACAGATAGTGGGAAGAAGGACAAAACGAAAGAGAATAATAATGAGGATAAAAGGGATTCAGAGTCTGGGGTTGATGAAACTTGTTTGGGGTTACCTAACCGGTGCAGTGACATGTCTGGCCTGATCGCCTGTATTAAGAGTTTTGACACTGGTAATTCATATTGGTTTTTGGCCTTTTTGAAATTGTTTTATTAGTTCTTGCAACTTACTGGTCTTTTATTTCCTTCGGCTAAAATGTTTGCTGGTGATGGATCTATCGAATTGAAGTGCTTTAGAATGTGTGATTGTTTTCATTTAAGAGATTATGCAATTACTGGAACTGCTTTTATAGTATTTGATTTACAATAATGAATATAAGTTTTGAATTTATTGGAGGATTGGTATAGTTTAAAAATATCTGAGCAAAGTTAATTTATATCAGGTCTTAAACAATAATGGAATTTCTATGCTGGGTATTAATGATTGCTCTAGACTGTATTTACTTGGGTTATAGTGGTCAGTGCAATCTGTAAGATAAATGCTCTTTAGAACAAGGGGAAATGAGTATTAGGAAGAGATGAAGAGAAGAAGAATCTAATGCTCATTTGGAAATGAAATGGAAAGCAAAACAAGGCACAAAGCAGCACCATTGCTTTCACAAATACAATGTGGAGGCTTACTGGGTTTGGGTTGCATGGTAGTAAATTTTTTAAGCATGGTGGAAACACTTTAAAGTATTTCTTCTTCTTGACAAATCAACATTTGTACTTTTTCCTTCTTTTTGTTGATTTCAAATTCCAGGTAGTTAATGCATTTCTCTTTAGTTTCCTGCACTATCTACAGCTGTTCTAGGGTATTTCATGACCTATCTGCTTTAATCATTTAGAAACATTACGTTGCCAGAAAGCCTACTCTTGAAGTCCCCTTTACTGGTTTTGCTTTGTATTTTTCCTTATTCCCATTTATAGACATAAAAACTGACATTTAATACACATCTAAACTTGTGTTTCCCTACTCCTTTTGAAATTGGGTTTCAGTTTTGCTTTTTAGCTAATGGTGTTTTGTTTGGTACACCAAAATAATTCTTCTGTCCATTAATCATTCAGTTAAGTGTTCCTTTTAATATGCAAAATGTGGAAAGCTCTCTGCATTTCTTAGCATAGCATTTCTTTCTTTTTTCTGAAACTGGCAAAAGGAGAATCAATAGAGATTATTATGCTTCAGAATCAGTATGATCAAGAATGTCATATTTTAAATATTGCATGGTCTGAATTATTAAGCTAGTTGCCATAGTTGGTTTGTTGGAGTATTACATATGTTTTTGAAATGAATTTGCTGTGAAAATCAAGTTTATTTGCTTCACTGTCTTGAATATTATCATTATACTTCAGTTTCTGTGATTCTTCCTGAATGCAATGATTCAGGTATGTTGATAAATTTATTGTTGTTGTAGCTTTAGCTTAAGGGATCAAAATGTTACTGGATAGCACAGTAAATCTTCTGCAATAAATGAATGGATAACTTAGATATTTGTTTTGAAATTAATATGCATGTTTTCTTCTTGTTGAATGATATATTTTAACCCAGACCTTGATAGATTATGTACTTGGATGCTGTAGAATGATGGAAAAGGACTCATCCAATCCATTTACTCAGGATTAAGGCTTTGTTGAACTACATTGAGTCATACATGATTCTCTTATCGTCTCTTCTTTTATGAATTTCAGGAGTTGCCATGTCCATCTGAGAATGTTACAACTGTGTTCATCATAGGCTTTGTTGCTAGAATTTGGCTTGTTTTCAACATTACTGGACTGTATGGTATTATATGATGTGCTTTTATCATTGGAAGTGGGTGACTCGGTGCTACATTAATGGGTTTTGAAAAATGCTTTTAGTAAATTTGAATAGTCTATTTAAAGTGAACATTTAGCTGAGACCTTCTGATTGCCTTACTAATTTTTTAGTATTACTTAAATGAAGGTGTTACACAACTTCATTTAATGCTCTGTAATATCATGATCTATTGGCAGGGTTGTGGACAATATTGATCAATAGCATCCATTTATTTTTTTTTTACGTTTTTGGGACATACAAAACAACCCCCAAACCCCCCCACCCCGGTGCAAAAAAAAAAATACCAAACTTGTGTGTTCGGATTTAATCCCAGAACCAACTTTTACAAATCAAGATATTTAATCAGTTGAACAAGTTAGTACTACATTCATCTTATTCATCTATTAATGAGTTAGATCTCCTAATTTCTGTTTCCATAAGCAGGGTCCAGAAATTGGACTGTTCTTGTCCAAAATGAAGGAGAAAAGACTTTGAGAGTGAATCTTACTGTCCCGACAGCTGCTGAAAATCCTCTGAAACAACTAGAAATATCCAAACACAAAACTGAAAAGGTAAAATATTTTCTCTGCTGATCTGCATTTTCTTAAGTGAAACAGTTGTAGACATAAGATCTTTGGGTATAAGTTTCTGGCTACAATCTGGATAAAATAAAGAGGAAATAAATTAAGGATGAATGAAAATTGAGTTTGCTTGGGACATTTCTTAGGTTACTGTGAAGACATGGTTTAATTTAGCTAGCCGGACTTGGAAAAATAATTATGTTGAATATTGCTAAGACTTTTACGGAAAACATTGCTAAAATATTCATAAGCGAGAAGAGAAAGTTATGATAAATTATAGGAAAGTTTTCTGACACTGGATTTGGCTGAGACCTGATCCTGTTTTGCATGCTCAGCTGATGATGCAATAAGATTAAAAACCTTAATTTGAAATGGCTTGTTAATAGGTTTAACACTTTATTGTATCAAGTTAGGTATGGTTATTGATATTTTGTATTCCTGCTTTTGGATGATCGGCAAAGTATGCATATGCACTACTGTTTTCTATGGGAAACTTTATTGACTGCTGTTTATATGCGTGGTTTCCCTGTTTCTTCTGTTTTAGATAATTATCTCATCAGCTGTTGGCAAGAGCAACAAAGTGATATTTAATACTAGATCCGGAGAATGCGTGCTTCACATGAACTCTGTTAAGTCTGGAGAAAAGTTTTTCGTGTACCTCCCTTCGTATGAGAACCTATTGAGCCCCATCAATGGTGCCTACTTCCTGATATTGTCTGTTCTAATTTTGGGAGGGACATGGGCTTGCTGCAAGTTGAGGAAGAGGAGACGGCATGATGGAGTCCCTTATCAAGAACTTGAAATGGGATTGCCTGAATCTGCTTCAGCTACCAATGTGGAAACGGCAGAAGGTTGGGATGAAGTGTGGGATGACGACTGGGACGACAATAATGCAGTCAAGTCTCCTGCGGCACCACATATGGGAAACATTTCAGCCAACGGTCTTACTTCTAGGTCTACAACCAAAGATGGTTGGGAACATGACTGGGATGATTAGAATTTAACATCAGAAGACTGATATATGAGATATCAACCAGGCAAGTCGCCGACAAGGAGAAGGAAAAGAAAGATATACAGAAAATTAGGAGAAGAAACATAGAATGTAAATCATTCACAAAAGTAGTGAGTCCTGCAAAGTGGTCCTATCCATAAGGCGCTTTTAACTCCTGCACTTTGTAATTGTTATTGGCTCTGTTTGTTCTTGTACAATAATTAATGGCCATCTCTCTACTGGTGGTTCTTTTTTGAGTTTTTACCATATTGTTATATGGGCAAATATTTTAGAGGCAGATATTGTATTTTTTTTTTTTAATATAAATTTTTTTATTCGTAATTTAAAGTTGTCGATCTCATTTGTTTGGGACCAAAAGGCTGAAACATAAAGCCTTGGTGCCTGTCATTCAATTCAAAACTCCCATTAAATGAGAAAATGGGTCACTTTCAGCTGAGATGTCCCTTGAATTGGTGTCTTTTCATTCTGGATTTACTCCAATATTCATGATCCAGAGGACCATACCCTAATACAATATTCATGGTTGTTGGCATGGTGGAACCACCTTTTAAATCTTTTTATTGCACTATATCTTTCACCCCAGAAAGCAAAAAAAAAAAAAAAAAAAAAAAAAAAAATGGTTATCAAGTTCTATCCAACTACTTTATCAACACTTAATATAATCTTTGCCAAAATACTCAAGAACTTGAATCAAATTTTCCAGCATTCATGAACCCATTACAGTACATGCTCCTAGTTTTTTTAATGTGTGATGAGGAATCTATAATTCTGTCTCTCCATTAAGCAACAAAGAAGAAGAAGAAGCATGAGAAAGATAAACTCTTCATCACCACACATCTCTAATTTCAAGAAGGCTTTTGACCAAATAATATGATAAAAAGAGAACCCAGGTGTGAGATTAATCCTACATACATTAATTAAACAAAGGAAACTAGGTATCATTGAAGACAAAATTGCTGGGATTTTCAAATCTGTAATAACTTTTGGGATCTTACAGTAAGTGAAAGAGTTTGGTACACTGTACCTATGATTATAAGTATATCACATTTTGTTTTATGGAACTTAGACAAAAATAAAGATTGATATTTCATATTAGTTAAATCAACCATCAATTCTTTTTTTATTCCCATAAGAATAAAGGACTTAAAAAAGAGGTTCACATGGCAAGACATTATGATTGTGTTTTGTTGCCCACTAAATATTTTACCTCTTATAAAAGTTTTGTGTAAGTGCTTTACAGGGCCCTCATGTGTTGTTCTTTGATGATGTCCATGTCCAAGCTCATTTTGATTAGGTTCCCTTTGTGTCCAACACCATCTCATAAAATTAAGCTTCACATCTAAGCCTTAATTATTAACCATGCTTGCAAAAACAGAGAAATCACTGTATCATGAATTTAACTTTGAAAGTGTGCACTTCCCATATATTATTAGCACCACTGGATTGCCTCCTTGAAGCATCACTGCTGGTTTATTTGCATGAGGTTTGATCATGTTGCAGCATGAGCCTGCAGGATAAGGAAAATAATTGTCAATTCAAACTTAAAAAGAGTATGAAAAAAGCAAGAGTGCCAAATGCCCTTTTTTCTTTTTTTAATCCAACAGCATCATATGTTATAGTTATACCATTCACATTTACCATACAGCTAGAACTTCATATATAAAAGCTGCTTTATGCTCAATCATTTTTAAGAAGTATTTCTAGCAATACAGGCGGAAAATGGAGGAAATCAAGAAACATAGAAAGGGATGCTTTTGTATGGCTCAGATTAAATCAATAGTATCGAAGTATATAAACAATATGAGACACAGCGAAACCAAAGAGGGTTCCTGTGACTTTGGTATATTGATAGATATATCATTGAACAATATTTTTAAGTTTCATGTTCATCTGATGAAGAAGAATCCGATAAAGAAAACTGTAACAAATTCCCAAAGGAAAAAAGAAACAGAAGGCAAAAAGGAAAAATACAATGAAAAAACAACAAACAAAAATGGAAAATAAATGGATATTGAACAATCTATCTCTTCTTTTTTGTTTAAGAGAGGAACCGGATTCTTCTTCACCAGAAATCTTCTCATGATTTGTTTAGTTCTTCAATTTCTACAAGTTTGTGTCATTCCAACTCCTCTTGTTGCCCTTCTAAAGGGCATTGGATCAATTCCAAAATATTGACCACCTCTTCCATGTCAGGCCGATTTGATGGCACTTGAGATGCACATATCAGACCAAGCTTTATCACTGGAATTGCTTCATCTGGGGGAAAATTGCCTCCAAGCCTTCCATCAACACATTCTTCTACCCTGCCATCCTCCAGTGCTCCCCTCACCATGTCACAAAGCACAACCACATCATCCTCCATATATTCCACAGGTCTTTTCCCTGTAATCACCTCCAAAACCAAGACTCCAAATCCATAAACATCACATTTTTCGGTTATTTTCACTGTTCGACATGCAAACTCAGGAGCCATGTAACCAAGTGCACTCTGAATTTTGCTACTTAAGATGCAGCGATCTAACATTGGCAACAATCTTGCCAGGCCAAAATCTCCCACCTTGGGCTCACCAGAACCATCTATTAGAACATTGGTTGATTTCAGATTGTAATGAATCATGTTCACTTGATGCAGATGGGCCAATCCTTTTGCCATCCCCAGGATTATTTTGAATCTCTGCCGCCAAGATAGGATATTTTTACTAGCTCCATCATGGAGATGCTTATACAGACTCCCTCCTGCGATGAATTCATAGATGAGAAGTTGCAAAGATGGAGTCCAGTAATATCCTTCAAGTGTCACAAGATTATGGTGCCTTATCTTTCCAAGTTTTTTCATTTCCCTTTCGAAATCTTCTTGGGACTTAATCAACCCTGAAACTGTTAGCTTCTTGATGGCAACTGAACGCCCATCTCCCAGGGTTGTCTGGTAAACAACTCCAAACCCACCACGACCAAGTTCACAGTCCTTGTTGAGCAGCCCATTGGCCCCAGCAGCAAATTCAGCATCACCAGAAAACATTACAAGCTTTCCATAATTTGGGTCCTTAGTGGGAGAGCAACTATAATCTTCTTCACCAGATAACATGAGAGCAGCAGCAGCCCGTGACATAGAAGACCGCACATGGATATTAAGGACAGTGACAGCTACTACACCAATTGCAATAAAAGCTGCTGCTCCAATGGCAATAAGGGCAGAAATGCTGAGTACAATCTTGCGACGGTGATTTTGAGAGGAGCCACCATGGGATGAGTCTGAAGAGTTGGGGTTGAGAACAATGGGCTTGGGATGGTTAGATGGGCAGGAGTGGTTGACAACAGAGCCACAGAGAGATGGATTCCCAGAGACAGATGAGGCAGAGATAGTGTTGAAGAAGCCCCCAACTGGTAGTTCACCTAGAAAATGATTGTGGGAAATATTAAAGGACACAAGGCGGGAAAGATTTGTCAGCTCTTTGGGTAAGCTACCAGTGAGGTTATTGAAAGACAAGTCTACGTATTGAAGGTTGCTTAGGTTTGCAATGGCAGCAGGGATTGAGCCACTGAGGTTGTTGTGCGATAGGATCCTGTATATTTAAACCAAAAAAAAAAAAAAGATTCATAAGACCAGAAAGGTTCTTCAGCCTTTTAGTAAAAAAATTTGAATAATCCTTTACATGGAAACAGAAGACAAACCATACACTCGGGGATACAAAACTGCATTCAAAACAGTAAGTATCAGGAAGAAGATAAAGTGATCTGATCCGTCCCTATTTCATTTTACAATCACAGGTACTTAAAAGGATGCCAACTATAAGAATAGATTAATTCTAATAAGAAAAAAAAATCAAGTTATGCTTCAAGGGAAAAAAAATAAAACCAATAAACAATAAGCCATTTTTGTCAACACACCATCTTCACTCAAACTATCTCAAGTAATTCAAAAAGAATCTCAAACAGAGTATTAGTCAATTATGCAGACATATTCCTTTTTTAATATATCTATTACAACTGACCATCGCTTAAAAAATATTTGCTTAACCATGTTGTTTAGACTGAAAAGGGAAGTGCAGTGGCTATGCAGACTATTGAAGGACTAGAGCAAATGAGGTACAGTGTATTTTCAAAAAAGCTTTAACATGAAAAACTCCAAACAGGAAGCAGTAAAGAACTTACAAAGATGTCAGAGATGAGCAGTTCTCGATTTGAACTGGAATTTTACCAGACAAGTAGTTCTTCTCCAGCCTCAGTTCCTTGAGTGAAACTGCACCACCAATTTCTGAAGGAATGCTTCCATGTAACCAGTTGTTACTCAGATCAAGAATTTGGGTAGCTTTCAATGCTCCAACACTTGCTGGAATAGAACCAATCAGATGGTTCCTGGACATATTCAACAACCGCAAGCTACTAAGAACTCCAATATTAGATGGAATTTCACCAGATAATACATTTGAAGATAGATCCAAGACCTCAAGACCTTGATTAATTGAACTAAATGAAGCATAATCAATTCTTCCACCGAGTCTATTCCCTGAAAGTGACAACCTTTGTAACCCCATCTTAAAAATCCATAAAGGCAGATTACCTGTCAAATTATTCTGGCTAATATCAATAGCCAAAAGGTTAACACAATTTGTCAAAGACTCTGGCAACCCTCCTGTAAACTGGTTCATTGACACATTAAATTCCTTCAGCAAATGAAGATTTCCTAACGAAAACGGAATCCTACCAGAGAAAAAATTCTCAGAAAGATCCAAATTTTCAAGATTTCCCAGTTTCCCAATCCATTCTGGAACTTCTCCAGTGAATGAATTTCCATGCAAATAAAGAGAAGCACATGAATTCAATCTTTGCAATGAATCCGGAAGGCTTCCAGACAAAGAATTCTCACTAAAATCAACAACTTTCAGGAGTGAACAACCTCCAATATCATCCGGTAGCGGCCCAGAAAACCTGTTTTTACCTAACTTTAAGGCTCTCAAATCATACAAATTTGCAATCCCATCAACAACATCTCCCTCCAGTAAATTATCGGACAAATCAAGAGATTGAAGACTCCTCAAATACCATATGCCAGCAGGCAACCGCCCAGAAAGCTGATTAGATGAAAAATTGACTGAGACTAAATTTGGACAATAGCTTAATGAATCAGGAAGCTGACCATTAAGATTGTTGTTAGCAAATGAAACCACTCTTAAAGTACCACATTGTTTAAACAACTCATCAGGGACAGAACCAGATAGATTATTTTCACCAAAGTCCATAACATGTAAGGTAGCAAAGTGTGAAAGATCAGGGTTTATAGTCCCAGTTAAGTTGTTTTTCGATAAAGAAAGAACTTGAAGAGACTGTAACCGTGAGAGGCCACGACCAATATGCCCAGAAAGAGATAAGCCATCAAGAGTGAGCTGGATGACCCGGTTGGTCCTCGGATCACATTTAACTCCAACCCAGCTGCAGGGACTTTCATCGTCTTCATTCCAAGATGTCAACTTCCCTTCTGGGTCTTCAAGTCCTGCCTTGAAGAAGATTAGCCCAAGAACGTCGTCGTTCAACGTTGGGTCCAAAGATTGTATAAAAGAAGGAACAAAGGCAAGTAAAAAACAGAACTTGAGTAGCATTCTTAGCTTAATTTGAATTGAACAAACAACAAATAAAACAAAGAAGCGTTGTTTTTTCTCTACAGAAGAAGAAGAAGAAGAACAACAACAACAGAAAAGATGAGTTAAACAAAACAGAGAACACGTGAAAATGGTTTAACCAGTTCGGAGAAAACAAGAAAAAAGATTGTGTCCGAACTGAGAGATACTGAATTCTGGTTGTTGTTGTTGTTGATAAGATGAGAAATGAAAATGAAAATGAAAAACCATTCTTGGTTTGCTTTGCCTCAAAACGGTGCTGGAACACAGAGAGTTTCAGGAGTTATTCGCGGCGAAAGGACCGGGAGCAACACACTCACAAAGAGAGAGAGAGAGAACCCTAGAAGGAATTAATGAATGAAAGAAAAAAATGAGTGCTTTAAATGCTGGGTTGGTCTGAAATTCTGAATAGAAAACAGAGAGAGAGAGAGAGAGAGAGTAAAGCAGAAAGCATTAAAAGCTTCTTAACGGCGAAAACAGAGAGCCATTGTCAGTCTTTTTACTCTTTTTTTCTTTGGGGGGTCTCATTTTGGTCAAACCAGAATCCGATGTGGGATGTCTACGTGTTACTCCTCGTCTGACTGGCCCATCATAAAACGATCTCAAAACGAATTACTTTAATCGATGTTTCAAGGACTTTGAAGTTACACCAACTGAAACCTACTTCCATGGCCTCTGTCACCTCACTTGTTTGGCTCGTGCTTTTGTTTGATTTTTACGTTATTTTGACTTTGAGTTTGCGATGTTATTCTTTTGTATAATAAAATGAAGTCGTCAGAGAATGGAACCCTCTGATTTTGATTCCAAATTTTCTGGTTTCTACACTTGATCTTTTCTGTTTCTGTTATCGATAAACTCTTATACTATAAAATTTCTATGAAATGGGGACTTTAATGGGGTTTCTTGGGAGTTACCACAGATTGTAGATGAGTGGCGTTAATGGCGCGGAATCTTAATCTTAATTAAGATTTTCCTAATATAATATTGCTTCCATTCAAAGACAACTGTTTTATTGGGCTGCCTCTATGGGCTTCGGACGAGTTTCTTAGTGTTTGAAATGGTAAGACCAAAGCCATGAGATATTACCTAGGTGGTAACTGAGTTTCAAGTGAGGCAAACTTTATTTGTAATGTCAAGGTCAAGGGTTCAAGCCGCACTGGAAGCACCTTATGGTTATAGGTACTTATCCAAGCCATCCTAATCAGAATTAGTCTCATACCTTTAAGTATGGAGAAATATGAGGTTTTAACAAAACAAAAAAAAATTGGTAAGACCAGGATCATAGTAGATTGACACTGTAAGGATGATTAAGTATTTCTCTAAAAAACGAAGGCTTATTACATACGTTGATTAGACAACTAATAAGTGAAAAGTAATCAATTTGTCATTATCATTACCAGCATCAGCAGTGTGGGTTTAGAGTAAGAAGTACGAAACAATGGTGTAATTCATTTGAAGGTAAGTAATGGAGGTATGGGGAGGGAAGGGTGGAGATAGTTGCAATGATTGAGTTGGGAAATTTTGGTGAAGAATGAAGAGTAATGGGCCATGGATTCAATCAAGTCATTTATTTGGAGGGCCAGCTTGGCCCTACTAATTGATTATGACTTTCTTTTTCTTGCCCAATAACTTCTTCCTAATTCACAAAACAAAGCGATTGAGCTTGAGAATGAGAGAAAAATGTGTTCATCAAAGTTCTTGGCCATTAATCATTTGGCTTGTGACCGGCTGACAGGACCTTAGATTATCCAAAGGCCTTATATTCAGGTCCTACCAAGTGATCATTTATCATATTTGTGACTTATTTAATCTATTGGGTTTGAATTAGGCAAGGTCATGCAAACTAGTCCGAACACTTTGGTCATCCAAAAAAAAAGTTCTTGGTCATTGAGTTGACCCATTGGATTTTTAGGGTATTCAATGGATCCGATAATTAGTCGAGGTGTGTGCAAGCGGTCCAGACGCCCCGGTACCTAAAAAACAAAAGTTCTTAGCCATTTGAGTTTTGAGAGGAAAGCTAGTTATGTACCTTGCTTGCCCATTCACTCTCTCCGTTTCCAATTCATTTCTTACTCTTTTTATTTGCATATATTCTTTCTTTACCTCTCTTTGAAGTTTCATCCTCGTGAATTGCCCTAAAAAACACAAAAAAAAAAAAAAAAAAAAAAATTAGTAATAGTAAAATACTCATTTAATTCCAGTACAACTAACTTTGCACGCGCTTATATTGCTATCTCACAATCTTATTATTAGGGGTGTGCAAATTTTGATGGTAGAACCGGAATCGACGGGTACCTGACATGTTGGTTCTACTTCCAAATTTGGTGGAACTGACATTGTGCGGGTCTAGTTCCACCACTTTTGGAACCAGACTCGGAATCGAGGTCCAGGTACTTGAGGTGGAACTGACGGCTACCTAATGTGTTTCTGAGTGTATTTATAATTTTCATAGGATATATTTGTCATTTTTGAGAACATGAGGGATGTCTTGTAATTTTGCATGAACAATCTCGGCTACCCGGACTCGAAACCAAAACCTGTGGTTTAAGTTCTGGTTCCAAGCATTTAAGAATCGGAACCGATCGAGTCTAGATCAGATTCCAGTTCTAAGGGATTGGGTCAAGTACCCAGACCCGATCATCCCTATTTATTATCACGATTTAAACTCTTCTTATTTCATTTGACAATATTATAAGACATATAGAAGTATATTCTTGTAATTCATAGGGTAATTCATAATGATATGCTAAGTATTTCTAAGTGGGAAGTGATTAAGGTGTTATGGATAAAGAAAAGTTAAATCCTATAAACTATAAAATTAGTTACTTAATAGGCTAAAACGGGTCTACTATATGGTCTATAACCACATGGCCTACCCCCAAAATTAATGCATTGTAAATAATAATATATTGTTGCTTCACATATACTAATTCCTTAAAGAAAAACATCGCTTTAAAGAAAATTATAGGCAATTTGGATGAATAATTAATAATATACAATTTGGATGAATAATTAATGTGACAATTATTTAACAATTGCACAAATTAATGTTTACTTTAATAAATGAAACCCCCAACCCTACCCCTGAAGAAAATGAGTAATGTTACAGTCACCGAAAGTAGTGCATCGAATGAAGTAGTGCAATCTTAACCATCGATTAATTATGAATTAATATTAATCGACGGTCAAGATTGTGTCACGTTATTCGGTGCATTACTTTCGGTGACTGTATTATTTTCCGAGGAAAAAACTCTAGAGGGTAAAATTTCCTCTTATAAGTTTTTTGGTGTTAAAATAAACGACATAGAGTTATTAAGTAAATATTCATTCACCTATCATGTTATAAATTATAACGGTATACTAACGGTTAGCTAATGGTAGGGATATATTCATTATTTATGAAATAATAAAGATTAGCTCACAATCAAATTTTATAAACGTTCTCTCATAACCTCGACGTGATAGCTCGTAATTGGACATGCGAGATCCATTTATTAGCTGGCTAATTGTGAACTCTCACATCGGAATTGTGAGAGAAAGTTTGTGAGATTGAGTTATAAGTGTAGTATCATCATTTCTAAAAATATAGGGGTACCTTTGTTATTTTATTAAACCTCAGGGGGTTCAAGGGACCACATTGGACATAAACACGATGGATCCAGTCGAAGATTCAGTGGCCCGCTAAGCATATAAGCATTATTTGTTTTTTAGATGATGACGTGTCACTAAAGCATTACAAGGTTCGTATCGTACCTTACGTGTGCGCAACTCACCCCCGGCGTCATTTAGCAAGTCTTGTTATTCTCTCGGTTGCTTCCTGCTAAAACGCTCTTTTTTCTGTTTAAAACCCTAAACCAACCTTGTGCTCTTCCAGCTCTCGTCCTCCTCGTTTGTCTCGCCCTTTCTTTAAACCCCAAATCTAAGCGATATGAGTGTGTCGGTTGAGTTGCTATCAATCAAAAACGCTAACCCTAGGATTAGTTTCAGCGATGGAATTGTGAAGAGAGCTCTGTGTACGTCACCGTCTCTGCGGTTCGGTTATCGTGGTGGTTGTCAAGTTTTGTTTTCAGTCGCAAATGGACTTGGCGGTGCTTCTCATTTGCGCCTTCCACGGAGTTCGGTTAATCGGTCAATTGTCGTTTTTTCAGCTTCCCACGAGGAATCGGTGAGCTTGAGTTTATTGATGTTTTTTGACACTTATAGTAAAAAAAAAAAAAAGAGAAAAAAATGATTGTTTATTATTTATCGTAATTGACGTAAATGAAAGGTTTAATTTTGAGGTACTGGTGAAAGAATAATTCAATTATGAACTTGTTACTGTTTGTTGCTTATCAAGCTAATGGTGGCTGTCTTTAATGATTCGTTGCTATGAACTAAGAGTATTCTAATTTTTTTTTTAAAATTATTTTATATTATGATAATCGGGATTAGAAGGCGTCGGAAATCGAAATAGAGAAGGAGAGTGAGGATCTCAAAGCTAGTGTTGAAGAATCGAATGAAGCCTGGAAACAGACATTGGAATCTTTCAAAGAACAAGCTTTAAAAATGCAGAGTATATCACAAGAAGCATATGAGATATACTCCAAGAAAGCTTTGATCATATTGCAAGAAACTTCAGAGCAGTTGAAAATCCAAGCCGAAAAGGGTAAACAGGACTTGACTGTTGTAGCGAAGGAACTCAGTGAAGAGGGTAAAGAATATCTCACCACAGCTGCAGAGAATTCTCCTGAAGTTAAGGAGATCGTGGAAACATTTACATCGTCAACTGATGATCTGACAGATGTTTCTAAAATCCGTGATTTTCACGTAGGAATACCATATGGTATGGGTGAAATTAATATACTTTTTACTGCCTTCATCTTTATATGATTTTGATCTTCATCTCCTCATGTTGCATGTCATTGCAGGTTTGCTTCTTTCTCTTGGTGGCTTCCTTTCCTTCATGGTAACAGGCAGCTTATCTGCCATCAGGTTCGGTGTAATTCTAGGTGGCACACTTTTGGCTTTAAGCGTCTCCAGTTTAAGAGCACAAAACAGAGGAGAAACATCTCCCTTAGCCTTGAAAGGGCAGGCAGGTCAGTGTATGGTTTATAATTATAGTCAAGTTCAAAGAAAAACAGTGTTAAAGTGCTGGTAAACTATTGGCATTTTGGACACAATAAACTGCTGTTTAATAATTTATTTCATCACTAAAATGACTAATTTGGCAGAGCTAAATCACCTATCAATCGGTTGCTTATGCTAATCTTTATTGATCCCCGAGTTAGGAGCTCTCTTTCTGTTTTTTAATTTTTTTTACTTACCATGTATACACGCTGATGAGTCACTTAAGGGCACGTTATTGGTCTTCTAGACAGGCTTCCCTTAGTTTTGTGATTGTGTTTCTACCCATGAACATCAAATGTACTTTCAGCAATAAAATCACTGTAACCATGTGGATGATAAGTACTTTGGATACAGATGTGACTCTGGGTGAATATGTACTTTCAAGTTTTGAATTTTGAACTAAGTCTGGAAGTGGGAAATTTGCGTTTGTTTCAGTTATCATTCTGTTTTTCATTTGTTGTATATGGTATTATATTTTACATTTATTGTTCATGTTTTAACTGGATTTTATGGCCTGCAGCTATAGCGACTATAATATTGTTAAGGGAGTTACGCTTATTGTCTCAGGTAGAAGTTCTTGATAGAAGTATTATCATTTGATTGAAATGTGCAATTTGATGCAGCTCTCCAACATCTAATACATACTTTGTTGTTTTGCAGAGATTCACATTTCCAACTTCTGTGACAACCCTCATTAGGTTCGTCATATTTCCAGTTCTAATTGTTATGTTCTTAAGTTTTTAGCAGCATTCCCACAAATTGGATGTAGCATGTTAGCAAATCCTTTTTTTCTTCCAATAATTGCTGGTCCTTTTTAGCTTCTTGAAAGTTGAAAGACCAAGTATTACATTTTCTTTTGGGTATGAAATTGTCCCGGTTCAGTGGACTAGCAAGTGAAAACATTGCTCTTGGAGAACATGAGTACTTTGCATTTTCCTTTCAAGGATAGTTGTATTTGACGGACTGGGACATGGCATGACTAGGTTAAATCATAATTAAGTTCTTTTGATGGGTTTGATGAACTTTATGGATGTGGTTTAAAGGGAGTAGAACTAACGCCAGGTGTGGGTCGAACCGAAAAACCCTTGTTTTCCAACCATGAGTTGCAAGGTTCAATCCCTTTGCAGTCCTCCAAAGTTCTCCACTTGGGAAAGTATATCTCATGGATTCTATGTCCATTAGAGGGTCCAAAGATAGTTCCTAGTTTTGAATATGTTCAGCATTTTGTTTTCTTAATATTTTCATGTGGCATATCCTGATATGGAATCACTACATCAACTTAAATCCTCTCTGTGCGCCTTATCATGCCATGACAGTAGCATTTCATAAAACAAACAAAGACCCTGGAGAATTATAATTTGGACAGTTTGATTAGAATTATGGCCTCTATATATCACCTTTTTTTTGCAAGCTGTGTTTCTGAAACCTCCTTTCCCTTTGCAGTGCTGCAGTGGTAGCATTCTATGTATATAAGATTACTGGTTATGGCCAGTGGAGAAAAGGATCAGGCTCAGAATCTGGGGCAGAGAATTGATCCGATAGTTCAAGGTTGGTTTGTTTTGCTTTGTAAATAATGCATAGTGTCTGTAAGAATTTCAAGTCGGTTGGACTTGATTCATTTTTAAACTTAGCTTTCAAGTAATTGTAATTTCAAATGCCAAGAACTAGATGATAATTGTGAATTCTAAGTGTTCAACCATCTGGATTGCTCAGTTGCAGAAACAAAGAGAACTCTACTTCCTGCATATGCTCCAGGTAGAAGAGTGATTGATCCAGCGTTAGCAGTTAGCACAAAGTAGACTGGAGATTTCTGGAGCAAAAAATACTTTATGCTATTGGAGAGTGGTGCATGCAGAAGGATTTCTAGGCCCTTATCACCAGTAATTCGAGTGCCCTTTTTACTGTTGTAAAATTCAAGGTAGACGATATGGTGGAAAGGAGTCAATAATATTCCAGTAGGCAGTTTTTTGTTTTGATGCTACAAAAATCATAAGGTGTTTTCTCCCCTTGGGTTAGATTCACGGGTAACTTATCAACTGTTTGCAATTGCAAGTATAATGAATGGGAAAAGATGCTGCAGACCAACATATTACCAGTTTGTGAATGACTTGTTAGAGTTTTCATATTGATAAATACTAGCCTTACAAAGAGAAATACAAAGAAGGGCATACAAAGACAAATCTTGTCCTTAATCTTCATGATTCTCTCTCTCTTTTTTCCTTCTTTTAAGGGCAGGATTTGTCTTTGTATGTCCTCTTTGTAAGACTAACATTTCTCTTTCATATACATACTCAAATGACCAAAATGGTTCAACTGTTTTTCTAACCTTGAAAGAAGCCCTAAAATCTATAGCCTTCTTTTTTGGAAGGGGAAAATCAGGGCAATAAACCATGCATGGGTGATTGAGTAGTTGGATAAAAACTGTATTACTGAAGAGGTTTTAAATTTGAGTCATCTTGATTAATTTTATGGCCTTGGAGTATTAGTCGAGATATATACAAGTTGACTTGGACACCTTGGGTAATGTTATGTTACAATAATGCTACGGACACCGAAAAAATTACACCGAAATCGTGTACCGGCCTACGTGTAACACGCCTCTCATTTTTTTTATAATTTTTTTTCTAGTGAACGGTCGTCCATCAAATTTGGACGGCCATTCACTCACATGGACGTCCATCCATATTATATGGACGGGCGTCCCTATTTAAAGGACGCCCGTCCATAAATAAATTTTGAAAATAAAAAAAAAAAACTTTGGGGACGGTCCCTTACATTTGGACGGACGTCCATACTTAAAAAAAAAAAATGTTTGGACGGGCGTCCATTTTCCGTCCATTATTTTAGTTTCTACAAAGTAAAGAAAAACTTTGGATGGGACGGGCGTCCGTAAGGAATGGACGTTCGTCCATTACTTACGTTTTTGTGAAATTTTTCCAGTGATAGCAATCTCATGCAGTATCTCCTGCATATCATCAGCTAACTTTTTGACGTCCTCCGGCCAGTATAGTACGTTTGCATCCTGGTTGAAGTTCTGTAGCTTATCCTTATTCTCTTTATCACTGCTGACTTCACCGAAGATCTTAAACTTTTGCCTCCCCCAAAAAAACAGAGTGAATGAAGACGAAGAAGTAGACGGGCGAAGTTCTGCACCTTCTTCGCTTGCCTCCATGGAAACTTTATTGCATCCATTTTGATTTAACATGTTAGAATTTCAAACACATTGACTTAGACTTTCAAACACATTGCCAGTATAGTACAGTTCAACGAATATTCATGGAAAAAGAAGTGAAAACTTTCATCAAACACATTGCCAGTATAGTACAGTTCAACAAATATTCATGGAAAAAAAGTGAAAGACTACTTTCATGGGAGACTAAAATATGGACGGGAATGGACGCTCGTCCAAACGTAAGGGACGCGCATCCATAATTTATGGACGGTCTCCCCAAAGTTTTTTTTTTTTATTTTTAAATTTATTTATAGACGGCGTCCTTAATGGGGACGCTCGTCCCTTGTATATGGACGCCCGTCAATATAATATGGACGGCGTCCATGTGAGTGAATGGCCGTCCAAATTTGATGGACGGCCGTTCATTAGAAAAAAATTATAAAAAAAATTAGAGGCGTGTTACCGTATCGGTACACGATTTCGGTGTAATTTTTTGGTGTCTGTAGCATTATTGTATATGTTACCATGGTTACTCAAATGATCAGAATGGATCAAACGCTTTTTTAACCTTGAAAGAACCCTAAAGTCTATAACCTTCTTTCATAGGGGAAAAATCAGGGCAATAAGTAAAACCATCTTGGGTGACTAAATGGTTGGATATGATTTTGAGTGAATAGAGTTTGAAACATTTTAATTAATTTTAAGACTCCGAAGAATTAGAGGCTTTTTATTGAGCTTATATTAGCTTATAGTGTTTATAAGTTAATTTGCATTGAAATTTTAAGTAATTACCATTTGGTTAAAGTACTTATAAGTACTGATAAGTAGTTAGTGTTTGGTAAAATATCTTATAGTACATTTTATTATAAAATGACTAAAAAAGTACTACATAAAACAATGGTATATTATAGAATTTTAAAATTAAACAAGGATATGTGGTATATACTTGGTCAAACTAACTTATAGCAAAGTGCTTATAAGAAAAAAAAAAAAAAATACCTTTTCCCCAACTTATTTTTCTTTAGAACTTATAAGCTCAAAAAAGTTATAAACAAACAAATCAGCTTAATTTTAGAGTTTATAAGTAATTTAACCAATTTATAAGCTTAAACAAACCCCTTTAGTTGCACAGAACTTGGACACCAAATAAAAAATAAATAAAAAAAGTGTCAAGGCAATATAATGATAACTTGGCCTGTGGACTGCCAGAAAATTATTATGCCAAATAGCCGATCAAGAAATTTCAGTAATTTTATTTCTTAATTCTGTTCCGATACAATGGCTTTAGTACAGTGTTCTGGCAATGTGCATCAATCAAACGTTAGAACAGGAGCCTAAGAGAAGTGATTAAAAACAAGAAAAAAAAAACCTAAATTTACTAAAGCTGTAGAACATTTGCAAAATCATTCAAGTGAACAGGAAGCTAGGTCATTAGCTTCTTCCATTCAATGAAAAATTTCCCGGACAACAGGTATTATATGCAACAGTATAACATATTAAATTTACAGTAGAAACTAACTCCCCAGTCAAAATTAAAAAAATTATATAATACTAACCAACAAACAAACAAGTGAATAAATTAAAACCATTATAGGACGGACTGACTGTATAACCAATAAAACATGTATGGATTTAGCATATTATGGTTATGTGATGTTTGTCTCTGAGTCTGAGTCTGAGTCTGAGTCTTAGACATCCCCGTGGCTGTTGGTAGCATGATGAACCTCTCCTTGACTATCCAATGGCATGTATTGTGCCATGATCGCTCGTATCTCTGAATCCATGTATCTCTGCAAATATCAAACACAAACACCATTATAAATCAGCTTTTGAGGAACATCATTTAACATGTGCTTACTATTTAATATTCACAAACTTTAGAGTAATAGAACAGGACTCGCTTTCACGAGCCGCAAACTTGATTTGTTCAAAATCGGGCTCAAAGAAAAAAGAAACTAACAGAAAAGCTATCATTAGTGTGAAAATGAAGTCATACCCGGATTCTGTACTTGTAAACTGCATATCCTGCAACAGCGGCAGCAGCCAAACCAAAAATGAGGAACCAGACAGAGCCCCAGCTAAACTCTGTTACCGCATCTTTACCTGCAGATTTACAATATAACCATGAGCAAGTACTCAAGCGTGTCATATAATTACAGACAAATTTCCAGGAGATTATAACAATAATGAGCCTGACTCCAGCACATCCATGAATATAAATGTCTTGATCTGGCACATGGCCCAAGCATGTTCTTAAAAATGCAGAAAGATACTTGATATGCTAGATGCAAATTCATGGAAGAATATTGACAGGAATGCATGGATAAAAACAAAAGGAGTCACAAATCCTAAGGGTTAATTCTAAAATTAAGAAAGCAGGTCGTTGTTTGCCAGTGTGCTTTTTCATCAAAAAAGTGAATGAAAGCAGTATAGGGAACTCACTTATGCAGGTGTCATGCTCTTGCATGTACAATAATCCACCACTACAGCTGCAATCGTAACTGCCCCAGGTATTTTTGCATTTGCACTGCGGGCATGTACATGCCAGCTTATCTTTGCACTCATCCACATCTGGAACATTGCCAAAAATAACAAAACATGTGAGATAAATCAACAGTTAGTTCAACCTGTGTTTTGCAACCTGTCTTTGTCTACCAAAAAATGAATGCCTCTTTAGGTGAACAAAGGCCTATATGCAAGTGGAAATGACAAACTGCTGAATTTTCATAAAGGAAGTAAAACACCTGTCCTTTTTCATCAAAACTGAATGTCCAAGTGCTTGTGGGAGTCTACTAAAGAATATGCCCAAGTAATTTTCGGCTCTAAAATCTAGAATATCAGACTTAGAGTAATAAACTATGGTGTTTCAAGAGCCTACAACCTGAGGACCTGAATCTTGGTATGGTAGTCTAGTTGTTCTATCGGTTATATCCACTCAATCTGTACTTGGCAGAATTCTTTCAAAGAAAGAACCCATGTAAAACAAATGTGCCAAATTCCACAATGGCAAGAAAAATTCAAGGATAAGAAACAAGTACCCCTAATTTAGTATCACACATCTAAATAAGATGGCCAATCATCATCTAATCCTGTAACTGGAATGATGCTTTATATCGTAATTGGAGAAAGGGAGGGCAGAAAATGCAGTACCTTCACAGCTGTTGATTCCATCACCCTTGAATCCTGGTGGACACTTGCAACCTGGCGAATTATCCTGAATAATCCATAATAAAACCAATTACAATTAGAAGTGAAAACAATCATTTATTTATACTTTTGCTTTGAGAGTGAGAGAGAGATTCAAGTAAATAAAAGTTACTCACAACACAAGCAGAATAAGTCTTGCCATTCTGGGTTTTCTTCCAACAACCTCCATTATTAATTTCACAGCGTAAAGCTCCAGAAGCTGTTTAACCATACAAGCACCAATTGTTATGCATATAGAAACCAAAAGCATGAAAATTGTAACATTAAAAATGACAGCTTTTCATAAAATTGTAAAACCCCATTGGTATTTTCCCTATGTTTCTGGTAATTTCCCTACCAACTCTTGAAAATTATTTTTATTGCTCAGTAATGCCAATGTCACTTAACAACCATAAGCATAGAGAAAAAATCAACAAAAGAACTGTTTCAAGATGAGTAAAACAAAATTATATATCCTTCAGTGAACTAAAACACTATGATTCATGTAAAAAATCCATCAATGTATAAATCAACAAGGGAACCGGTAGATATTATGCACGGAATAACATAGTTCCATAACAAGCAGGCAACAATGAACATTATATGTATAGCAATGAAAATGTCTATGGTTTCCAACCATGGCTCTGCAATTCAACTCTATGGAAAAGCTTTTACCTTCACAATGGGTATAACCATCACCAACAAACTTCACGCCTCGTACTACAGGACACGCACACACTCTTCCTCGAAAAGTATCCTATAACAAAATAAAAAATACTTACCAGTTGAAAAGAAAAAGCAGAAACAAACTGTACTTGAAAGTAACAATTTAATAATAGAAAGATACCTTGCATGCAGTGAGGTTAGCAGTTTTGTCCTGCCAACACCCACCATTGTTTTCCAAGCACTCATTGGTTTGCACCTCTGCAAAGAACAAGATAATAAATACCATTTCTACAAGTGGTTTCCAACCAACGAAACAGTCATGACCGTATAACAATTTAAATATCCTCAAGGACCCTAGACAAACCCAGCTGATCACACCTCACCAAAAAATGCAACCTTTGATATCATTTTTTCTGATTTAGCATTTTTGACAAACAGTTAAAAAGTGAAAAACCAGGTAAATAGGAAAGAAAAAAAAAAAAAAAGTAAATAAAGATAATCAAGCAAAAGCCCAACAGAGGCTCATTGAAATCATATTTATGAGGATGCACAAAGTATAAACACGCAGCTGTTTCAAGGGCTTCTAATAGAATTCACTTCACTTCAACACTCAGGCAATGCATTTGGCTTGCTTTGTTCACAAATTATGAGATAATCCCCAGCATGTCTAATGCAATGTTGCAATATGTTAATGACTAACAGCAGTTGTGAAACATTTTAAGGTACCAGAAGAAAAACAAAACAAACAAACGGGAAGGCCAAGAATAATAGATGATAACCTTCACTTAAACATATCGCTGGTTCTGTAGTCTCCTGGAAACCTGAACAAATAGCCTTGAGAACTGCTCCCTTGTCCAACTTTCCTGGAAACAGTAATATAGAAAGATTAATGACTGGCTTCATTCAATCAAATAGCTAATAGACATGAAAATCAGCTGGTTGCTTCAGACCTCTATACTGTCTGTTGTTTATTACAAGAGTAGGTAGTATAGTCACATCTCCACGGGAGCCTTTGCCAATCTGGAAACAGATAATTACAACAGAATTAAGCAAAAAATAAATATTAAGTAAAATATTATTTGGAGAAAGAAAAACAGTTTATCTTGAGGCTCACCTGTGCATCTTGCTCAACTTTAAGAACTTTGTTGTCCACATTTGCCTCAGGGTCTCCAATACATTCGTCGACCTTCTTGAGATCAACACCTATAAAATATATTACATTTTTTTTTGCAAAAACAACAGTGAGAACAAGTTTACAATCTTCAGTTCCAAATGGCTTGATATAAGAATCAATGACATAGCAGGTAACCTACCAAGAGACTTGATAACCTCATCTGCGCACTCTTTGTTGTACTTCTTATCTTTCATAGGACAACGGATTGCAAAGTCTGTCACATAATCCCACCAAAGCCATGGTTTTCTGCTTTCATTGGCAACTTTAAAGAAGCAAGCTTGCCGTAAATTTTGAACCACAACGTCCTTCCCATCGTATCCTCGGCTGAAATCCTGCTCAGGATCAGGAGCACAGTACCTCCCATGGTTGATGCACTGAGACTTGCATTGCTTGCTCAGGATAAATGCTTCGGGACAGTACCAAGTTATATAGTGAGGGGTGAATTGAGTGTACCCTTTCTTCTCAAGTATCTGGGCTGCTCCTTTGAAGCTCTTGACAAAATCAATTTGACTCTCACACTTTGGTCCACACTCATCATTGCTGTTTGTCCAGAATTCATACTCAACACGCTCGTCGGGATGAGGAAGAGCTTCTGTCCAATCTAAGTTCATGTTAACCATATCCCCACTACTTAGAGCTTTCTTCATGCTATCCCCCAAAGATTTGCTAATAAGGGCTGAGGGGATGGTAATGTTTTGCAAATATTCTACACTTACATTATCTTCTGCAGGGGTATCCATGGTTATCAATGGCTCAATCTTATCATCTGCAACAAGAATAGCTGCTGCTCCACCATTTTGCGCATTCCAGGCCTTCAAGGTAAAGAAACAATCTGCATGTGCAGTAAACTTGTAGTTAGTAGATAAGAAAGTACATTGAAAAGTGGTCCACCCAAAAATCAATTAAATACAAGGAAATATCGACTCAAATTCAAAGCAAGTCTCCAAAAAATATCAATGCTGTAGAAAATAGAAATTTAGCAAAAAGAATAACACAGAACACCAGAACTTGAGCGACGCAAAAAAATGAAGGAAACAAAAGATGTAATCTTAAGTTCAAAAGAAATCATTTAACAATTCACTGGAACCAGTGAAGCGCAAACCACAATCAAACTATAAAACTTTGAATCCCAGACCTGAATTTCCAAAACCTGAACCTCCACTGAATTTTTTTTTCCTTAAGAGATTAATAAAAATACAAAACTTTAATGAACTTCTACAGATTATTAAACAAACATTTTAACATTGCAAACAAGCTTTTAACTTCATTACAAAGAAAACTTTCCATTTGAAGCAACATAACTGAAAAAACTAACATTGAAAGCTTTTCAAAAAGGAAAAAAAAAGAAATTATGAAATCAATCGAATAAGAAAAATTTTCTCACCTCCCCGATCAACAAGGAGAAAAGTGGGCAATCCTCCAGGCTTTGACTTAAAGGAGAGATCGACTTCATCATAGCCCTTGCATGCCTTCTGATTAGCTTTTGGATAAACAACCGTACCAATTAAGGTTCCTCCATATTGAGGAACGCCAAAATTCCCAATTGCACATTCGTAAACTCCTTTAATTGACTCCGGCGATGTAAGTTTCAAGCTATTCTTCTCGACAACAAAATTTCCCAAACTAGACCCACAAAGCAAAAACCACATACACACCAAAAACCCTAGCTTTCCTCATCTTTTTAACTGATCAAAAGATAAACCAAAAAATACCAGATCGGGAAACCTTATCAATCAGGTCCCCCTCGATAAGCCCACTTATAAAACCAAAAATTGATATAATACAAACCGAATCTTAGAAATTAACAATCAACAAGCGACAAAATTCGATAAATTAAACAAATTTATCAAACCAGTTGGCTTAAAAACTCCTTCTTTCTCCACCTGACTAAGTAATCCGGAGCTGAATTCTAAGATACGTTTACGAAAAAAGGTTTATCCTAGTTAATAAAAGCCAAATAACCCAGAAAGAAATTAAAAAGAACGTGTCAAATACTCTGCTCAATTTTTCTAATCTTTTTGCCACCAAAATCACCAATTAAGACTTTTCAAGGGTCATTTGTAGCAGTAATTAACGAACGACCCGTCTGGTAAAAAGACTAGAAGATCTAAACCGCCATTCATTCAGGACTTTCAGATGATTAATATCAAGTAATAATTAATTAATTATTTTTTGTTGTCGTTTGGTGTTGAAAACTGGGCCACATGATGACAGATCGTAGTGTTGCATGCGAACCACGTGGCGAAAGTATTCAATGTGATTGTAACACGCGATTAACAGTCCGACGTCGTTTCAGGGAGGAGAAGGAATCTTAGGCCGTCGTCACACGGGCCCTATGCACAAACGCACGAGTACAAATGGTTTTAAATTTGTTTTATATATTTTTTTATGAAATAAAATAAAATAAATATAATTGCCAAATTAAAATTAATTACAAGAATACAAAATTAAAGTCATTGCACGACATAACATGAACTATAATGTTTATTTCCATATACACGTGTTTATAATCCTCTTGATAATAAAAGTAATACGTCTCCGTCGCATGAGATTTTAATCCTCTTGATTGAATTTGAAACCAACGTGAAACTCATTTAGGGTATTGTCGGATATTATATTTTGTTGTGCGGTCAATCTTTGGGGGCGTAGCTTCGTGTGATTCTATTTTAGGTTATTTTCGTTATCGAGTGTGTTTGGGCCTGCTTATACAGCATCTCAATTAGTCTTACGATCCTAAACAAAGTTTTTGAAATAGAGTAAATCTTATAATTTGTGATCAACAATATTAATAACCGTTCTTGTGATTCGAATCTGAGATTACAGATAGAGCAAACCCCTTGACCCTAAACTTTTACCACTTGATCAATCAATTGTTAGTTATTTTAGGTTAATTTTATTTACAAGGATCTCTTTTTTACGTTTCATTCATATCTTGCACAAACCGTTGTTGTACATACAAAAACATAGAACATAATATAAAAAATAGCAGACGTAAGATGTACGCTTAACATCCGAACCATTTTAAAAATCTTTTATTGATTATGTTTTTTATTCATTCATTCCGCATCAAATAGAAGATTTCATACAATCTCTTACATAAGTTTCATCACAAATCCTATATACTTCTCGTTGGTAGAAATCATAGCATTAACATATATAAATATTATGAGAAGGAAATTGGGATTAGAGAACAATAATGTTTTACTTACAACTGAGTCATACAAACAGACAAAAATTACACAAAATTAATGTAAAATAACTACTTTATCCTTTTTTTGTCTGGTTATATGAACCAGTAGTATGACTCAATTGTAAGCATAAAATTGCTCATTAGAGAATCGCAATCTGCAAAATCCAGAAGAGTATAGGACCATTATCAACAGTAACATAGGCCAAAGAGAAAGTAATGTGTCAAACACAACCATTCACACCATGAATGTGATGAACTGAAACTGGTGTAGTGTGAAACAAAGCTCCATGAGCTCAGTTATCACCTAAACCATTTCTTCTTAGTGTAAATTAATAAAAGTTCTGTGAAGTATATGTACATCAATCCAATTAGATGTAATCTGGATATTTGTGCAGTGTCAACGGGAACTGCAATCATTTGTCTTCATTCTTCTAAGACTTTCTCTTAAATAAAAGGGCAATGAGGCATCCCAAAAGATTGTGTAACCATACATCTTCATTTGAGATCAACATGAACTTTGGATAATATTGGCCTATGCAGTTCATAGCAGAATTTACCACTACTGAAATGCTTAAAGCACAGTGCCTTGGGTTAATGGACAGATCGTCAAAGATTTCCCATTATTCAGTAAGTTCTATTCTGATAAACAAATAAAATATTGACATAAAGGAAATTTTACTGAAAATTCTGATTCAATTGGTGCTGCCAAGCTACAACTTTCCAAATTTCTAACACTGGATTGCTAAGTAAAATTAGATGATTCAAATTTTGTAAAAGATCTTGCAGAAGCCAAATCTATAGACTGCATTGACAAGAATGAAAGCTTAGTTAAACCGACAGATTATATGCATATCTGGGAATCATTTAACACTTGAAAACCTGGGTTAATCCGATCAAATCCTGAAAAGGTGAGACCTTTACAACAGAATCTAATGGCTGTGATGGTGGTGGTGGTGGTGATTATGGTGGCCTCCATCATCCCATCCAAAGCACAGCAAGAGAGGGTGACAAACTGCAATTATGCATCTATTGATTCCAGTGAAGATTGGTGAAACCATAAAACAAGGGCAGCAACAACACCTCAAAAACGGATCATCATAAGGGCTGTCTCCATGGTGGTGGCGATGGTGATCATGGTGACCCATGATTTTTCAACTGTTAAACAAGAACCCACCAATCAAAAACAAAACTTTTATATAGGAAAAAGCTCCAATGAGAAAAAAAAACTGAAAAAGAGAGTACTTCATGTTAATGCCGTCCAAAACAAATAATGTGTCGAGATGAATATGAGCAGGCGGAAACAATTGATAAACGAACATATACCTTGTTTATTGCAGAAGAAAAAACCCCTGTAGCCTTTGTCGTCTCAACAATGATCTGTAACTGCAAAGCAGAACGTGAAACCAGAACTGTAAAAGAACTCGAGGCGAGCGAGTAATCTGTGTCGGCTTTAGGATACCCTTTTCAGCTTGCAATGTAAGAGTCGTTAAAGTGAGTCACTCGGCCCAATAGTGGGCTCTATTGGGCCCATAACACATCGGATGGGCTCTATCGGGCCTTTATCAAATCGGATGGGCTGTATTGGGCCTATGACAAATCTTTATGAGGATGACTGAATTGTCAAAAAAAAACTGGAAAAACGTTTCAAGTCATGAGTAATATTACGCTCACAACCTAATCTCACAATATCTTCTTACAACCGTAATATGGGAGTTGAAATAACAATTGTCATTTCAACTCTCACCACACTTAAAACACTAAATGATTTTGACTAAACACAAACAATAATTTCTTAAAGATGAACGACTGTTCCTTTAGGTCATTCTTTATGAAGGAACAAAACCCTGAGATGTAGAAAATTAGGAATTTTATTTAATTTTGATATGTTGGTTAATTACTTGATATCCAAAATTGGATTTGATAAGTTTATGAACCCAATTTATTGGGTTAGTATAAATTGTTTGAAAACCCTAAGTTATAAGATCCGAGCTTCCATTTATAGTTGATATTTTGACTCCACTGACTAAAAATCCTGGCTATATCACTGCTAACACAACTACATACTACAATTATATGAGCAAGCACAAGCACATATATAATAATAAATCAGAATGAGAGCACAAAGATAAAGAAAAAAAAAACTCTGTTTATTGCCTAAATTTGTAATCCTCAGAAGATAAAAGTTCAGCTAAAAAACTTAAACTGATATTTAACTCCTTTCTTTGTTCTTTCAATTCATTGTACATTGAATTCACACGTGCTTTTGTACATGCAACCTTCATTGAGTGGAAAGATTTACAGACAAAAGCCAGGATGTGCAACTGACTTTTGAACAGTGATTCCTAGTACAGAGAAATGGAAATATCAATCTATTCCCGCTTATCCTCCTCAACATCTTCTCCAAGGCCATACACATGATCCGCCTTAGTTTGCATATCTCCAGATTTTATCCCGGTGCCAGTCAGCGCGACACCCTCCTCATCAAAGTCCTCTCCCATCTCCTCTGAGTAAGCATATCTACGAATCCGCACCAAATTAGCAGTAATACATTGGTATGAAATTACTTTTCTCATCTTTCACCAATACGAGGAACACAAAAATAAAAGTATGCGGCATGTTAAGCTATCTCAGACAAATTGAATCACACTTCACATAAACCACAAGATGTCATAAATTTTAAAGGGCGGACAAAGGGTTGGTGGCTAGTCAATAACTTTGATTTTTCACTTTGTTAAACGATACCAGTCATTTGCCCTTCATCCGCACTACAAAAATGTTATAACATCCACACAGAAAAATGACCTACATACATGCTTTAATATGCTATTTTCAGCAAAGGCTCCATCATAAGACAAGAGCTTCAAATTTAAGGAATAATAATAATAATAATTAAAAAAAAGAAAGAACAAGAATTATCCCATCTTCATACTATGAGTTAACTCCATCTGCCAAATCAAGAAACTAAGTAATATTTCTAACCATAACAACCATTTGTCAGGTTAGTGATAGCTTAGATTCAAAAAGTATGTAATAAATTAAAAAAGTTGCAGAAAAGACAGCCTAAGTGTGGAAGGAAAAGTGGAAACATCACTAACCAGAATGAGAGTGAAGCAATTAAAACACCAAAGAACAAGGGGTCAAGTCTAAGCAAGTACCTAGTAGGGTTACGTGAAGGAGCCCAAAGGGCACATATCACCATCAAAAGAGTGTATGCAAGCAAATTCCAGAAAGCTGGAATGATCCAGGCAAATTGCCACAGCTCACTTAATGGGTCAGTTGCATTGAAATATAGCTGCCAAGGAAGGTAGATAAGCTTCAATTAGCAGTGTTGTTTGAGACAAATGTACAAGTGGAAATACTTCAGAAACTTCGTACACCACAAAGCACTACAGAGTTTTTAAATTGCAACAACTCCCAGTTACCTCAAATCCAATCCAAGCTATAGAGAGTAGCACACACACTGCAAGAGAATTGGTAAACTTTCGGTACAGCTCCAATTTAGCCATGTTTCTCCTCATCTGCACCCAAATACACAGAAAAAGAAAAATGGAAATACAGAGATGGAAAACAAAAGATAAATGAGCAATTGTGGATGTATATCGTTCTAGGGCATATGTTAAGAGACTTGAAATGCTAAATTAGCATTTATTACTCATCATCTAAAGAAAACATTTTGGTCAACAAATTACCTTCACTTCTTTGAATGGTAAATAATTACTGCTAACTTACCATTTTAAGAGACATGTTAACATAAACTTTTGGAAATGGCAAGAATGGCAGAATCAGAAGATTACCTGAAGTTTCTCCAAAGTTTTGGAGAGTGATGAGAAGATCCACAGAATAAAGCAGGAATCCAGAACGGTAACAGGCAGCACCAAAAATAACTTTGCTTTTCCGGAAAAGTCATTGATGTTTCCCAAATTTTCAAAGAGCTCAAGGGCCTCTGATGCAACAAGATATACCAAACCAAGAAGAACAACTCTCGAGGTTAAACCACCAAGGGTTGGCTTGACAACACCATAGCCCATAGAGACCACAAGCAGAAGAAGGCGAGACAGAGTCTTCTTAACAGAAGTAAACGATGCGGCCCACAATGTAACCCCCATGGGTCTGCTCCCAGTTGAATTAAAATTGGCATAATCAAAGTACCAGAAAGACATTTCACACATTCCAAGAGCAATCACCACGGTGATGTAATAGTGCAACTGCATAATATTCTTCCAGAATTGGACAAAACTCAAAAACCATGCTAGGCCAAGCACCAAGTAAGCCAAAGACATTATGCCAAAGAATGTCATCAAAGAAGCCATCTTTCCTGGTAAATAACCATCTGGGTTCTTCCACACACTTCTTCCTTTAACCAAAGTACCCATGAGTTCTGGATCACAAAACATAAAATAGAGGTAGTACATTCCAGTTCTATCTATATAAACAATATCATCAGGAGACATTTGAGCTTCTTCGTTGGTTCCATCAAAGAAAGTTTGTACGCGTTTAGGCCAGTCGGGGTTATCCAGATTTTTGTGAATAATAACCTCTCCACTATTGCAATACCCATCCCTAGAAAGATTCTTCGTGCAACATATGGTATCCAATTTTAGAAATGAACCTCCAATTCTTTCCCTATCTTTAACCTCAAGTATGATAGCCTCCACCAATCCAGTTTTCTGCTGCATCTCATTCTTCGTCCTAGCAGACTCCTTCGGCCTCACAAATGTAACAGTTTCAAACCTGAAATTCCATATGCATAAGCTTAAAACCCTCCAGAAACGAAACAAATTCATCCACCACAATCAAAACCCTCTCATTCAATTAGCTCATATGACCACACCAATTGAAGCTAATATGACCCCACCAATTGAAGCTAATCAAATCTAAATGATTCATCAAAAAACTCTAAAACCCACCAAACTTTCGTAGAACCATACTAAACATACATCATTACTTGTCACAACACCCAAAATAATCAAAATTTAAAAAAAAAAAAAAAAAAAAAAACAAAGGCAACAAATTCATGAAAATAAGAATTAAAATGTACCTAATAAAGGACTTTCCCTTGACAGGCTTATCAGGAGAAGAAGATGAAGAAGAGGCATCAACAACTTTGGAAGCGTAAAGGCCTTCACTGCCCCCATGAAAGAAGAAAGCATTTGATTGTGCAATAAAAGCTTCATTTCTGTACTCGTGAATCGACCCATTAACATTTCTGACTGAATTACAAAAACACAAAATAAAAAACCCTAAAAGATAATAATAATTAAAGTAAAACCCCACTCGGATCATCTTCCTCTTTGCCACTCCCAAAAATAATTTTGGTAAAGTTGCTGACTTTCCACTTTAGTTTATCCGATCACCAAGTTAATTACTCCTCGCCAAGTCCTGTAAATAATAGTGACGTTATAACGGAATCCCTTTTACTGGGCCGATAATATTGGGCTCAATTTGGCCCATTTCCATCAAATGGGCTTTACTAAACAAAAATAGGGCCCGTTTTATTCTTCTCTAACATAAAGTTTTAAGAGAGCTTTTGACCATTATTGAGTAGTATTTTCAACAACGGTCAATGTGCGTTTCAATTATACATCTTATAAAGGTAAATAATATTTAAAAAAAAAAAGAAATTAGGATATAATTCAAAAATAAAATAATGGGTTTACACGTATATAATTAATGGGTTTAAACCGGTCAAATGATAAGACTCTGGATTACTCAAAAATCTTGTGTTTAAGTCACATAAAGTGGTCATCTATCACATTTATGACTTACTTATTCTATTGAATTATAGGCAAAAAAGTAGTCAAGATTTCTAGTGAGTGGGTTCAAAATCTCCACCACCACCCGTACATCCCCCACCACCTCATACTATTACAAATCCCCACCACCACTAGTACATTCTCCTTCACCTCCCTACTACTATAAATCCCCACTGCCACCGGTACATTTCCCGCAACAATTATAACTTAATTTATCAAAATCATCAACTATAAACCGAAGCCCCAAATCTTATAACTTAGACTTTTCAAACAATTTCTATTAACTCGATAAAATTCAAGTCATAAACCCATAAAAACTTATCTAATCTAACTTTAAATATCAAACAATTAACCAATATATCTAAATTAAATCAAATCCCAAAATCTCTGTAACTTAACGTTTCATTAATTTTTTAAACCACTCAAAATTAATTCAATAACTAACTAAAATTTATCAAACCCAACTTAAAACAACAACTAATTAACTCATATCTCAACATAAATAAGATTAAATCAAGACCCACATCAAAATCTAGGAATTTAATCTTCCAATTTCAAACCTATTTATTAAACTCAATAAAAAGCTATAGCTCGTGATCTTTTATCAATTTAGAAAGACAAGAAAATATTTTTAAACAAAAAAAAAAAACCATCATGCTACCTTGTAACCTCTAAAATAATTTTTTTTTTTTTTTGAATAATCCAACCAAAATAAGAAAAAAGTAGCATAGAAAAAGAGAGGAAATGAAGGAGAGAGAAAAGTTAAAAAAATGTTAATTAATACAATTTTTGGTAGGGTCAAACGTCAATATGAATTTAATAGGTCAAAATTGTAAATACCATATAATATAAAATTTTTTTTTTTTTTTCAAAACTTTCAGTGGATTCAATTGAACTCATATCTTACTATGTGGCTATATTGGGCCTATGACAAATCGTTATGCGGATGACTAAATTGTCAAAGAAAAAATTGAGAAAACGTTTCAAATCATGAGTAATATTATGCCTACAACCTAATCTTACAACCGTTCATTCATAAGAAATAATTTCTTATAAATGAATAATCGTTTATCCCTAAGGAACGATCGTTCATCTATAAGGAACGATTATTCATGTTTAGTCGAAATTGTTATTTGACTGTTCAAGTCATATTATCTCTATAAAAGGTGTCAAATATGCTCTTCTTTATTNATTAGGCCGTCGTACACAAACGCACGAATACAAGATGGTTTAAATTATTTATTTATTTTTTATGAAATAAAATAAAATAAATATAATTGCCACTACCGGAACGGAAAACTACCAAATTATTTAATTAATTACAAAGAATACAAAATTAAGTCATTGCACGACATGACATGAACTTTAATGTTTATTTCCATATACACGTGTTTATAATCCTCTTGATAATAAAAGTAATACGTCTCCATCGCATGGGATTTTAATCCTCTTGATTGAATTTGAAACCAACGTGAAACTCATTTAGGGTATTGTCGGCTGTAGAAAGATATTATATATTGTTGTGCGGTAAATCTTTGGAGTAGTGCTGGCAATGGGCCGGGCCGAGACCGAATATCCCTTGGCCTAGGCTCAAGCTCAATCTCATGACAAAGGCCCAAGTTCGGCCTGGACCCGTCACAAGTATAATAGGTAAAACCCAAGTCCGATCTGACGGATTTTTTGTAACCTCAAACTCGGTCCAAACTCGTTTATTTTTATAATTTCAATTTTTTAAAATTAATAAATTTCATTTTTTTTAATTCTAAAAATAGTTTTTAAATATTAATTTATTTTTTAATACTCATCAAATGAGATGAGATTAGGGTTTGAGAAAAATGGGTATATATATGTAGGATAATCTTGTAATTAAATATATAATATAAAGATAATTTAGAAAAATTAATACTAAAATTGTCGGGTCAGCCCAGGCTGGGCCAGGCTTGAAGGCATACCTAGGCCCGGCCCGTATCCGAGGTTGAGCCTTAAAATCAGGCCCAGGCCCAAGCCCGTGAACACCGAATAAAGCCCGACCTTTTCGGGCTGGGCCAGGTACCCGAAAATATCAAGTCCATTGCCATCTCTACTTTGGAGCGTGGATTCATATTACGTGTGATTCTATTTTAGGTTATTTTCGTTATTGGGTGTGTTTGGGTCTGCTTATACAGCATCTCAATTAGTCTTTCGACCTTGAACAAGGCTTCCGAAACAGGGTAAATCTTGCAGTTTGTGACCAACAATATTAGTAACCGTTCTTGTGATTCGAACCTGAGACCACAAATAGAGCAAACCCCTTGGCCATAAACTTTTACCATCCGACCAATCCATTGTTGGTTATTTTAGATTAATTTTATTCACAAGGATCTCTTTTTTGCTTTTATTCATATCTTACATAAGCCGTTGTTGTACATAGAAAAACACAGAAAATAATATAAAAAACAGTGGACGTAAGATGTGCGCTCAACATCCGAACCACTTTAAAAATATTTTGTTGATTGTGTTTTTGATTCATTCATTGATCCCGCATCAAATAGAAGATTCCATACAATCTCTTACGTAAGTTTCATCACGAATCCTATATACTTCTTGTTGGTACAAATCATAGTATCAACATATATAAATATTATGAGAAGGAATTTATTTACAACTGAGCCATATAAACAGACAAAAATTACACAAAATTAATGTAAAATAACTATTTTATCCTTTTTTTTTGTCTGTTTATATGACTCAGTAGTATGACTCAGTTGTAAGCATAAAATTGTTCATTAGAGAATCGCAATCTGCAAAATCCAGAAGAGTATAAGACCATTATCAACAGTAACATAGGCCAAAGAGAAAGTAATGTGTCAAACACAACCATTCACACCATGAATGTGATGAACTGAAACTGGTGTAGTGTGGAACAAAACTCCATAAGCTCAGTTATCACCTAAACCATTTCTTCTTAGTGTAAATTAATAAAAGTTCTGTGAAGTATATGTACATCAATCCAATTAGATGTAATCTGGATATTTGTGCAGTGTCAACGGGAACTGCAATCATTTGTCTTCATCCTTCTAAGACTTTCTCTTAAATAAAAGGGCAATGAGGCATCCCAAAAGATTGTGTAACCATACATCTTCGTTTGAGATCAACATGAACTTTGGATAATATTGGCCTATGCAGCTCATAGCAGAATTTACCACTACTGAAATGCTTAAAGCACAGTGCCTTGGGTTAATGGACAGATCGTCAAAGATTTCCCATTATTCAGTAAGTTCTATTCTGATAAACAAATAAAATATTGACATAAAGGAAATTTTACTGAAAATTCTGATTCAATTGGTGCTGCCAAGCTACAACTTTCCAAATTTCTAACACTGGATTGCTAAGTAAAATTAGATGATTCAAATTTTTTAGAAGATCTTGCAGAAGCCAAATCTATAGACTGCATTGACAAGAATGAAAGCTTAGTTAAACTGACAGATTATATGCATATCTGGGAATCATTTAACACTTGAAAACCTGGGTTAATCCGATCAAATCCTGAAAAGGTGAGACCTTTACAACAGAATCTAATGGCTGTGATGGTGGTGGTGGTGGTGATTATGGTGGCCTCCATCATCCCATCCAAAGCACAGCAAGAGAGGGTGACAAACTGCAATTATGCATCTATTGATTCCAGTTAAGATTGGTGAAACCATAAAACAAGGGCAGCAACAACACCTCAAAAACGGATCATCATAAGGGCTGTCTCCATGGTGGTGGCGATGGTGATCATGATTACCCATGATTTTTCAACTGTTAAACAAGAACCCACCAATCAAAAACAAAACTTTTATATAGGAAAAAGCTCCAATGAGAAAAAAAAACTGAAAAAGAGAGTACTTCATGTTAATGCCGTCCAAAACAAATAATGTCTCGAGATGAATATGAGCAGGCGGAAACAATTGATAAACGAACATATACCTTGTTTATTACAGAAGAAAAAACCCCTGTACCCTTTGTCGTCTCAACAATGATCTGTAACTGCAAAGCAGAACGTGAAACCAGAACTGTAAAAGAACTCGAGGCGACCGAGTAATCTGTGTCGGATTTAGGATTCCCTTTCAGCTTGCGATGTAGGCGTCGTTAAAGGGAATCACTCGGCCCAATAGTGGGCTCTATTGGGCCCATAACAAATCGGATGGGCTCTATCGGGCCTATAACAAATCGGATGGGCTGTATTGGGCCTATGACAAATCGGTCAATGACAAATCTTTATGAAGCTGACCGATTTGTCAAAGAAAAAACTTGGAAAGTGTTTCAAGTCATAAGTAATATTACGCTCACAATCCAATCTCATAATATTCTCTTAAAACACTAAATGATTTTAATTAAATACAAACGATCATTTCTTAAAGATGAACGATTGTTCTTTTATAAGGAATGACTATTCCTTATGAAGAAATGATTGTTTATTTATAAGGAATGATTTGTTCCTCATGAAGGAACAATTATTCCTTAGGAATAAATGATCGTTCTTCATTAAGGAACGGTCGTTCATCTCTAAAGAACGACTATTCA